AGTCCCAAGAGGGCAGCTCTTCTCCATCCTGCTCCATCTCTAGGATCTGGAAGAGGATCTGGGGCACAGAAGGCAGTAGGTCAGGATTGGCTGGATCAGTGTTGAAGAGGATGCGTGCCAAAAGCCCTCACTCGTCACGAGGTCGGAATGGCAAGCTTCAGAAAATGATTTACTTCATCTTTCCTGGGAAATAATCTTGTAATCGCACAGGATGTAGCCAGGCGTATGGACGCTGTTCAAGAATCCAGCCACTTAGTATTTTTTTTGGTTCGCTAATTCCAGCAAACTCACCAAGATAGTCAACTAGAAAGATAATATATTGGATGTGAACTGTGAAAAGCCCCTGGAATGCACAGAACTGTCTAGAATTCAAATGCGGTGGTGTACAAAATATCTCGAGTCTAGAATTTATGAGCTTGTTTTCCAGGGCTAGGACAGCTTGTAAAGACAGAACGTTACTGCCTCTTCAGTCATTTTGAATTTCTTTTTTCTTCTTAGAATTTTATTTTTTCCTAAAGGGAAAATAACCAGCTCTGAACACCTGCAGAGTGCCAGGCGTTTCACATCCACTGACTTGAAGCCTCACACTGGGAAGCAAATGTAACTGTACCCATTTTCAAGGTGAGGACGTTGAGGTGCAGGAACTTGCTCAAAGGCAGAGAGCTAATAAATGGGAGAATCAAAATTAACCTCAAAGGATGTGTTGTTCCACAATACTGAGCTGCTTCTTCCAAAATTAAGGTGTGGTTCAACATGCCACTTGGAGCCTGGGAAGGTGTTTAATACCAAGACCTCTACCCCACACCCCAGTCAAAGATAAGTCAAGTCTTTCTTCACAGAGCTTGGCCCTCAATTTCAGGGACAAAAACCTCATCTGCAATCCAGGTGAACAGTTACAGAGCTACGCTATTTTGTGATCAATTAACAACAGTCCGTGAGAAAGTGGCGATTTATTATGTTTTGTGCACTAGCTATGCCAGGAAAGCTAATATATGCTCATAGAAATGGAGGCATGAGACAGATGGCTGAAAATGTAAGGCACACACATATATTTTCAGCCTGTAGATTTGAGCCAGAAATAAATGAGAGATGTGACAGCTCCAGGGCAAAGTGAGAGAGATATCTTTTCTGGCAGAAAAGATAAACTTGCCAACACTTACATGGGTTAGTTTCTGCGATTCATTCATTGATTCAAGTATCTACTACATAGATGGCACCACACTGATTGTGACGGGAAAGGAAGGTCCAGTCACAGAAAGTCGTCAGGAGCACGTTCTGATGGACAAGAATAACCTGACCCTCTCGGCTCTTCCAATTTGCCAGGTCCTGTCTTCCATACGAAATCATCATCCAATTTGCCAGGTCCTGTCTTCTATACGAAATCATCGCCGTAACCCTCTGAAGTAGGCGCTACTGTTATTATTCCCATTTTTCAGATGAAGAAACCGAGTCGCCAAGGAGGTTAAGTGACTTGGCTTCGGGCGCCAAGCCGATGACAGTCAAGGCGGGTCCTAACCGAGGCAGTTTCTGTGAAGCATCCGAGCTCTTGACCTCTCCCACCTCCCTGCTCTCATCTTACAGATGTCACAGCTGAGCCCCAAGGAGCCTACAAACGAGAGTGGAAAGAACCCGTTCCCCGCCTGTCACATGAGGCAGGTGGGTCCGCTCTGTCCTGCAGCACGACTTCCCAAACACCTACAATGTCTCCCTCTTTGCCAGTGGGTCAGTGGGCCCTGGGGTGCTGTACCAGGAAGGCCCGGAAGGTGCTGTGTCAGGGTCTGGTGCCTGCGCGTGGCTTCTTTTCAGAGGAGGGTCCTGGGATCCGCACAGCGGAGCCGGGACCATGACCCGGGAGGGGCTCGAGGATGCTCTGTAGCAACAGAGAACCCACCCTGGCCATGAGCCCCGGCGGGAGCGACTTGGCTTCCGTTTGAGGACGGCTCCCCCAAGGACCACCGCAGCCCCAGGTCCGCGGCAGCCCGCTGCAGGCCCTCGCCAGCCAGGGCTCGGTCACGTCCGGGAGCAGGGTGGTCCTGCGGAGTGAACTGTGTCCTCGTAAAACGGTGAGGTGCGTTCCCAACCTCCAGGACCTCAGCACGTGACTGTGGAAACAGGGTCCTTGCAGAGGTAAAGGATTTAAAACGAGGATATGAGGGCGGGCCTTAATCCATGATTGTATTCCTAGAAGAGGAGCATTTTGGACAGGGGCACGCTGAGGGAAGGTGAACATCTACAAGCCAAGAAATGCTTGAGGCTACCAGGAGCTGGGGAGGGGCCTGGAACAGACCCTCCCCCGCAGCCTTCAGAGGGGCAGAGTCCTGCTGACACCTAGAGTTTAGACCCCTGGCCTCTAGAACCGTGAGACAACACATTTCCTTTGTTCTGAACCACCTAATTGGTGGTTCTTCGTTAGGGCAGCCCTAGGGGATGAATCCAGGTGGAGTCAAAGCATTCGCAGTTCTGGCTGGAGTCAGGTGGACCCGTTTTTCTGTTTTGCTTTGACTGCTTTTGCCCTCCTGTAGCAGATGCATCATCTAGATAGATAGATAGATAGATAGATAGATAGATAGATAGATAGATAGATAGATCGATCTATAGATATATGTATCTATAGATATATGTATATAGATATGTATATAGATATATATCTATAGATATATGATATAGATATATGTATCTATAGATACATATATCTATAGATATCTATACATATATCTATAGATATATCTATGCCACTGTCAATTTTGTAATCCAAAGGTGTGTACGCACATTTTTAAGGCTTTCAATGAACTTGCTGCAGGAGCATCACACCTTTTGTCATAATCTCTCCCTGAGCAGGAGGCAGGCAGAGAACTAGACCGATGAACTCATGCCCTGGGTCTGGGCTCCCGAAAGCCTGGCGTTCGCAAGGCTTGTCCTATGAGCGACTTCCCGCACTTGGCCTCCCTGGCTGTGGGTGGCCCTGGGTCACAGGACTCCTTTGATCTCTGCCCAAATCATGAGCTGCCTTCCTCATTCTTTCTCTCCCAAATGCCATCTGACCAGAAACTTAGCCTGCCATTTATTGTTCTTCCCATAACCTGGAGGCGGTTGCTCGAATCTAGGAAATGGACCGGGTTGAAATTATAAACATTCTAAGCAAACAGACCACATGTTTTAGTGGAAAGAGTTCCGGGGCTCTGAGAAGCCGTGGGTAGGTCAGTGCTCTATAATCAGCTACGGGTAGGTCACTGCCGGTCCTTGGGGAAATCACGTGGGACTCCTTGAACCTCAGTCTCTTCATCTGTACAATAGAGATACCATTTCCACCGTGCTGAGCTTACAGAAATCCTGGATGTTTTGTGAAGTGCTATATCCATGGAATAAGGAGGGAGAACCAGGTACATAAAGGGCATTTATTTCAGAAAACTAGAATGTCTCAGGGACTGCATTAGTTGGCTGCAGCTGCTGCAAAAAGTTACCTCAAACTTGGCGGCTCAGAACAACAGAAATTTACCGTCTCACAGTTTTGGAGGCCAGGGGTCTAGTCTAAAATCACTGAGCCAAAATCAAGGCATCTGCAGGGCCACCCTCCCTGCAGAGAAGCTATTTCTTGCCCTTGCAGCTCTGGCGGGTGCTGGGGTTTCCTGTCTTGTGTGTACATCACTCCAGTTTCTGCCTCCGTGGTCACACTGCCTCCTCCTCTTCAGTGTGTGTCACATTTCCCCACCTCTCTCTTATAAGGATACTTGGGATTGCCTTTAGCTCCCACCCCTCCTGCAGGATAATTTTCCCACATGGAGATCCTTGATTTAATCGCATCTGCAAAGCCTCTTTTTCCTTATAAGGTAACATTTATGGGTTCCAGGGGTCAGGACCTGGTATCTGTAGGTGGCCGTTATTCAGTGTACTATAGGGACATTTCCAGTTACGATGAGAAATTACGTGTGTTAACTTGGTGCCGTCGCGAAGTAACTCAGGTAACAGCCCTGTTATGAGCTGGATGCTTTGTGTCCCAGATGTTATAAAGGGCAACGCTCTGAGGGGAAACCACCAGCCTGATTTTGTAGACGAGGATGCTGACCGTGAGAGGCAAAGGAGCCTGCCCAGGAGGGCACAGCTGGCAGGTGGCAGGGCTGGACCTCCAGCTTTAAAACAGGCGCTCGTACATAAGGCAGACCATGGGTGTGGGTGACTGATGTGGCAGCCTGGCTTCCCCTCTGAGATCATATCGAACAACCCGACTGGGGCATTTTCAGATCCTGACCCCTGACGTTCTGTTATCCGTGGATGCTGACCGGAGGGCTGACCTGCCGCTTAGCTCTCTCTGTCCCGCGGCTTAGCCGACGGAGCTGTGAACCGAGGTTTGTTCTTTTCTTCTTCCTTTTCCGATCTTTTCTTCGGCTTCTGGGAAGTGCCTTCTGCCCTCGCTGGTTGCCTGTCTCTTACCGTACAGTTTCTTTACTTGTACCTCTTTTCTTCTCTTTTCCGTTTTGATAATTTTATGGCACCTGAGACTTTTATTATAAGGTTCATTGAACCTCTTCTGGATGCAAGAAGCGTATGTAAATCAGGGGTAAACAAAATGTCTTTTTTGGTTACTGCCCTTGTAAAAAAAAATTTCTTTTATACTGTAGACAGTCATTTTTCTTAAGCTAAATGCTCAGTTTTCGGAGGCAATAAATATGTAGGATTAATTTACAAAAAGCTTCCTCTCCAGCCAGGCCAATTCAGGAACAGCTAATTCTGCAATTCCAAGGTACTGTCGTTGTCTTGTATGTTACTTGCCCTTCCTACCATCCTGTGAAATAAAGTGGCTGTTGCTATCATACCCATTTTTCAGATGACACAACTAAGACACGCTGAAATTAAGTGACAAGTCCCATGTCATCGAGTCAGGACTCATACCTTGGTCCTGCCCTCTTTTCTCTGCTTCCCTGTGGATCACAGAAGAAGGAGGGACCCGTGCCAGACTCCCCCCCCATTTGCGAACACCCCCTGTGGCCACACAGCCACCTTACCTGCTGTGGCCGTAGCTTTCGGGAGCGTGGTACATGAAGACGCTTCCTCGGGTCTCCCTGGCCCACTGGTTGGCCATGTCGATCACGGGGCAGGTGATAAAGTAGTCCCTAGCGAAAGGAGGACAGAGAGGAAGGGGACTAGTTACACAGCTCTGTGGACAACTGTGCCGGGTAAATGCTTCTACCAATAAAGGGTCCCTTGGCCACCAAGCCCCTGTGAGCACAGGCCTGCGGAGAGCACTCCCCAGCTGGCCCCACGGCCAGCTGGATGGAAGAGCCGGGGACAGAGCACACGGGCCCATCTAATTTATGGCCGGCCGTGACAGCATGCTGGTGTCCACGCTGATGCATTTAGGGTCAAGAGATCCGTGAGATAAACATCGTCACAGAATATCAATTTCACTTAAGGATTTGGGAGCAAAACTCTCTATGGCAAGATAAATACAACATACTATGGAGCAAAATATAGAACAATTGTGCGTTTTAAAAGACAGAGGCCTCAAGGATGCTTCATGCACATGATACCTCAACCAGGACCCCCTGTCCCCAGGAGAGAGTTGGCAATGTTTGGGGACATTTTTGGTTGTCACAGCTGGAGGCCAAAAGGCTCCTACGGGCATCTAGCCAGTAGGGGCCAGGGATGCTGCTAGACACCCTACGATACATGGATGACTCCCCCCAGCAAAGAATGTTCCAGCTCCAAACGTCGGCAGTGCGGCTGTGGGGAACCTTTCTTTAGAGCCCCACGGTCTCGCATCCACTCCCCCTTTGGGGTGATGTGAACACATTTCAGAAGCAGCTGCTCACACCAGCGGGGTCGGCTCGTGGTGGTGCCTAGCCGTGCGCTGAGGAGGCCGCAGGCCTGGCTAGAATCAGGCAGATCCGAGCCGGCCTTGGGGGCCCCTGGGCGTGGACCCCACTCTGCACTCCCAGCGTCTCCTTGGCTGGCCATCTCCTCAGCTGAGAAAGGAGCCCATGGGCCCCACCCACTGGCTGAGTCTGACCACACCCATGAAAGTCCACCCAGGAGGAGCGATGCCCAGCCCCCTTCTCTGGTGATTGAGACCAGCTGACGGGCAGCTCGGGTGGTCTTAGGAAAGGCTCTAAGGTAGGTGGGGACAGCAGCGAGGGTCTGGAAGAGCAGGTAGAGGCAGCCGTGCTTCCTGGTCCCCCGGGAGTGGTGGGCAGGACAGGGATGGGAGCAGCCCTCTGGAAAGGCACACGCTGGTGGCCCTGTAGAGGGGCATTGCCGAGGAGACTGGAGGGAGGGAGGCCCGTGGAGGCCATTGCCTGAGTCTGACCAGGAGAGAAGGGGGCCTGAGCGAGGGAGGACTGGCGTCTGCCTCCTCACTGAAGCCCTCCTTGGTTGCCTGTCCTCCCTTGGGCCTCAGCCCCTGCCCAGTTCGCAGACTCCCCAAAACCAGTTAGAGTCCATGTTGGGGCGAGAACTGAGGTTTCTAGGCTCCAGCCCTGAGTTCGCTCTGCCACACGGACCGAGCCGGTGTCAACGTGGTTGAGAGGCTCTCGGGGTCCAGGACTCGGGCATCTGTGCATTCTAGGGCCCTTCGAGGGCTGAGCCCAGAATAGCTGTCGGATGTTTGGTGTAAAGCTGAGCTCTCTGCTGGAGGGAAATTAAAGGCTTCCTGGTCCCCGCGATTCCAGCGGGCAGCACCAAGCCTTATTCTGAGCTAATGACCCCTCCGCCTGGAAGCCACAGACTGCTGGGTGGAGACATCCAGCTGGGCAGCGGGCTTCAACACCCTGCAGTCCGTCCCTTCCCAACAGAGTCAAGTTCAGCAGAGGGCTCTGAGCCTCGGCACTGTCTCTGTCCCCAGGGGCAAAGCAAAGGCCTGTGTGGACCTCCCAGAGCTGAGGACGGAAGTTACGGATACTGAAACCACCAGCCACATTCTTCTCGCTCGGAGCGGGAGATCTGCCAGGGAAACAGCATGTCGAGGGGCCTGGGAGGGGCTCGAAGGTGACAGAGAGCTGGAGTCCCCACGGTGGTCTTGCCCCCACGGGACTCTGCAGGCAGAGAGAACTGGAACCCTGGCTACTTCTCGATTCCATTCAACACTCACTCCTGAGCGCCCGCCGTGCGCTCACACAGAGCAGCTCTTGGCCCCAGCGAGCGCACCATGAACCCTGGAGACAGGCTAGTCCTGACGAATGCAGGGGGCATGGGGACACAGCTGAAAGAGAGGGACATTCTGGGGAGCGCAGAACCTGTGGTGGGCGGGGGACACCTGCTAATTGCTTTTGGGATGTGACAGTCAGGGTGGACTTCCCCAGGGGAGGAAAGCTCGAAGCAATGAACTTGAGCAGCAAGGCACACAAGCAGTGAGCACAGGAACAGCACCCCTGGGCGAAAGGGCTGCGTGGGTGTCAGAGTCCTAGGTCTGCTCCTGTCTGGCGATGACATCAGGGTGACATCAGGCATAAACTGTCCCCTGTCTAGGCCTCCGATTCCCAAGTGCAAGGTGGACTCTGGGTCACCTGAGATGCTTAGAAAAACATTGACTCTTACGCAGCCTGCGCGCCCTGATTTTGAAACGCTCCCCACATGGTTCTCGTGGGCCGCCAGGGTGGGGGTCCCCAGCATCCTCTCTGCTGACCAGGCATGGCGGGTGGGCTCTGTGGCAGCATTTGCTGGGCAGCTGCTTCTTGGCCCAGGGCATCCAACAGGTGCCTCTGGCAAGTCCTTTGTCCGTGCCCCCTGAGGGCACGAGACGGCTGAGGGAAGTGGGGTCACCCTTCAGTTCTCCCCCGGGCAGACAGTCACCCCGGGCTGTGGACTGGCTGAATGATGCAGGGATCCGGGGCCCCACACACCTACCGGGTGGCATTCTCCAGGGCCCGGGAGAAGGAGGCGTAGTCGTCCGCGGAGTGCTCCAAAGAGTAGTACCACGTGGCGGCAGCCTGCACGGCGGCGTCAGCACCCTCGCCACCCAGGGAGTTCTGCAGCGCTTGGTAAAAGGCTATTTTGCTACTTGTCCGGCCTTGACTTTCCTCAAATCGCTTGGGTTGGGGAGAGAGAGAGAGAGAGATGAAAAGTCCCCAGTCGGATTCTGAAAAGCTCGAGCCAGTATGCCTCAAACGCTTGTTCTAGAATTTTCTCTCTGGGAAGCAGAAGAACATGGCATTAAGCCCATGGGTGCTGGAGCCAGACTGCCTGGGTTCACATCCCAGCCTGGCTCACGTAGCCGCGTGATCTTAAACAGGCAGCTGGACCTGTCTGTGCCTTCCTCTCTCCACCTGAAAAGGGACGCGGTGGGAGCGTCCTCCACGGCTGTGGGGAGGACACAGGGGGTCAACACAATGCGAAGTACTTGAAACGGGGCCTGGAGCTTAACAGCGCTCAGTGGACGGGAGTCTTTGCTGGGGGCCGATAACAGGTCACACGCCTGAGCCTGGCCCTCTTTTCCTGGCTGCTCTCTTGCCAGCTCGTCATCTGGTTTGGTCAGGACAGCTAACGTCAGGGTCATTCCCGACTCGACACAGGGACGCGCTCTGTGTACTTTCACAGTGAAAGACACCTTCGTCCAGGGCCGACGGCCGGCCCGGCCTGGGAAAACAGCCGTGAACACGCTGATGGAGCGTGTCCCTGCGTTCCGGGCCCGCGTTCTAGTGCGCGGAGGCGAAAACTAAGCAAATAATTGCGAGTTCATCAGGGGACAGGTGCTGAGCCACAAAGAGCAACAAAGCAGGACAGGGCAGGGCGGGGCCGCTGCAGGCGGATGGTCAGGGAAGGCGGCGGCTCTCTGGGCTGCGTCCCGGAAGGGTCCTTTCTCCCTC